TATCTATCTATCTATCTATCTATCTATCTATCTATCTATCTATCTATCTATCTATCTATCTATCTATCTTTCTATCTATCCCTGTCTTCTCAAATATTAAACCCATGAGAGCTTTAAGTATATTTTTCTCTCAATACCTGAAGGTCTTTTCTTTCAGATTATTTCACAATACCATTCAGGAGAACTAAATAAAGTTTTAAGACGAAAAAAAGAAAGTTCCACCTATTTAAAAGCTCAATTTCAAGTAGACAGTGTTTGCACAACCTTTTCCGAAGGTAGCTATTTCGTTTCGACATTTTGATATCTGGTATCTGCCTATCAACATAAACATGGCTTACCTGGTGTAGTCTCAAAAAGATTTGCAACGATCGCAGCAATTTCAGGGATGGCAGCTTTTTTCCAAAGAATCACAGTGGGATAAATCAAGCGCGCAAGAGTCAAATACACTTAATTCAGACGGAGGAAAATCTAATCCACAGAAAAAAGCAAAGTTTGAATTCCTTACTACACTTAGAAAATGTTTGCCTTGTCCTCTGCCTCCAGTACTTGAAAAGTTTTAATCCGCGGAGATCGCAAGGAATCTAGATTGATGTTCCTTACTACTGCGTGTGTGTACTCGCTGTTGCAGAAGCCTTTGGGAGCGGTGTCAACGAAGAGGGAAAATTAGAGGTTCCGCAAGTAACTAAGAACCTTTGAAGTTACATCGTAAGTCAAGAAATTAATCAAACGAAAAGAAGATAACCGGAGCGTTCACGCTGAATTTATTCCCACACTCTTGTTTCTCTATTTCAACATTGCAGCCTGCGTGAGGTCGTTCAGTACGAAGGACGGTGTGAGAAAACCACAACACAACGATTGCCCATTCGCCTACTGTGCGGGCTCTGACTGCAACCTCACGCGATTGGTCGACAGCTCTCATGGCTTTTGTGACGTCACTAAGAAGCGATCGTTTTGATTGGTTTTCGGTATCTTGAAAGAGCCCCTCTACTCCTCGGCGCGCAAAAAACTTTTGATCATTTAATAATGAAAGAACTGTAGAGCCCCGAGTGAAACGCCGTTTACGATAATCCGGTCAGGCGCACTGGACTGTGTCGGTTAAGGATTTCGGGCATAACTTACCGAATTAATCCACATAGCGCAGTTATTGTGTCCGTTTTAAGAGGCGATGGAATTTTTCCTCAGTTAATTCAAAACAGCTCACTGTATAACTGTGCTTAATTTAATATCTTCTATTGTCTTCAAATTAGTATTTCAGCTTACCTGCGATACAGCTTCTAAAATGATTTTTTCCCTTTATTGTTTATGTCAGAGAAGTCATTTTCCTATTTTCCCTTACATAATTATAGGTTCAAATTAATTTATGCGTGTAGATTTGTCCCATTCGATTAAAAATTGTGCTGATGTTTATCCAAACTGTGGTTATAGATTCGAACTAGAATCACGTTAGTCTATTCATGACAATATTGACCTATTGTCCTATATTAGGAAACATATTACATTATTTTTAAAGTGTACTTTTTAATCTTACCACTGGTTTATATTGAGTTAATTTGTGGAAAACCTGGGTTCTTTGCTTGTTTATTTATCAAAGACTAAATTCCAACGTAATGTGAGCATAATAATATATAAGATATCAGATTTTGAAGATAAGATTTGATTTTTTTTTTTTGGACCTTGATTTCTAAAATAAATGAATCGAACCTATCCCTTATTTAATTACAAAATGTACATCCCCGACGAGTACGATGACATAAAGATTTAAGATGAAAAGACTCAATAGCTAAAAAAAAATAAGTCAGTCCTTTCATTTGAAGCTTCATTATAAAATTATCCTCGGATTTCAGACGCCAACAGTCCGACAGAGCGCAGTCTTTACTGCCGGTTGATACTTTTGTGTCTTACTTTAGATTGTTCTCCCTTTGTCTCTTGCTTTAGATCGTTCTCACTTGGACTAGGCGTGCGTGGAAACCTAATTGTTACAGTATATATACTTAACTTAATGATCAAAACAGTTTGGTCAACTGAGCGACAGGCTTCTTGGGTCCTGTCTGTTATGGCAAACACGGGGAAAGAGGAATATTAGTTGTCTTTAGCATATACCAATCCCCCCCCCCCAAAAAAAAAATTTAAAAAATACAGTAAAATAAAAAAAAAAGAATTATCAAACACCCTCTAAAAACAAAAAACAACCACAACAACAAAATACAAGAAAATTTTCTCATAGTATGGGAAATGAACTCATGTCTTCTGTGTGCTGCTGCAAAGGCGTAACCGTTACACCGCAGACGAGGATGTGCACTAAGCCTTTAGCTGTGTTTTAAATGCATCTTCAAAAGTTCGTGTCCAATTCTTTTAGCCCAGCTGTCTTTGGCATCTGTTGTAGGATGTAACTACTAGAGGTTAGGTTCAGTTTGCATCAATTCCAAGAGTTACTGAACAAACAACAAAGGAAGTGGAACCAAAACAAAAAACAAAAGCAAAAACAAAACAAAAGCAAAACTAAACAAAACGAAACAAAAGAAAGAAAAGCAAATTGCTCTTCAAAATACCATTAAGAAAATAAAATAATAACCTGTGTCTCATTGGCAAAAACATGAGTACCAGTAAACGAGTGAGCGAGAGAGGTTTATACTATGTCTAACACGATATATTTTATCATTATTTTTTTTTTTTACTTTGCTCTACTTTTTAGTTGGCGGCTAGACTAGTGCTGTGGCTTAACTTAACCCTCCTTAATGCAGGGGGCCCATTGCAAATGACATCGGGTCAGGTCGGGTTGATCGCCTGACTCGTCGCCTGAAAACAAATACGAGGTCCTTTCACCTGTCATGTATACAACATAATGTGGGGTGGAAATAGGTGAAGGGGGCTTCTAGAGGTGGGTAGATATTTTGTTCACAAGAGCTGATGATGACCAAAAAATTAAGAAAATGAAAAAAATATGAAAGCGATATGTGTCGGGTCGGGTCGATTTGCCACCCAGATTGAGGGCTTTTGTTTTCAGGCGACGAGTCCGGCAATCGACCCGACCCGACCCGATCCCATCCGCAATAGGCGCCCGAACGTGTTCATTTTCGAGGCGACGAGTCGGGTTGATCAGCTTGTGTCATGATAGCCACTTTGCACCCTCAATCTGGCTTGCAAACCGACCCGACCCGACCCGACCCGACCCGACCCGAGCAGATCCCCAATGTGCATCCCGTATAGCAAGACCCACATTTCCAATTCCATTTTTTTGGGTCATCATCAACTTTTGTCAACGAAATTACCACCCACCTTTAGACCCCCCCCCCTCCCTCCCTCCCTCTTTCCAACCCACATAATATGTCGTACACATGACAGGTGAAAGCCTATTCATTCCTGGTTGGTGAATTAAGTCTGTCTTCTTCGTGGTCACTGTTATTTTTAATAATGTCCTTATGTCCCAGTTTTCACGGTACACATATTTCTCCTGTCATGGCTGACCACTTCAGTAAACGCTTTTCTACTTTGCGACGAAGTGAGACTCCTATCTAAAACAGTGCACAGTGCATAGTGAATGATACCCCCCCCCCCCCGACCACACAATTTGTTTACACTTCCCATAGAAAGACTACGTTTTGTTGTTAAGCTTTTCATATATTTTTACGTCATGTTATTTTTTAGAGTCATTAGGTTATTGTGGTGTTATTTATTATTGATCGTAATAACAATCGGGATATTCAATACTTGTACTTTTAAAGTGTTATAGTATGTGCCAGTTGTTAATTAAGTAGTTATATTATTGTACAACATAGTGTTTTATTGTAGAAATATCCAAGAGGCAGCGTCCGTCAACTGGAAAAACTATGGAGAATTTAAAAAAAATAATTTTGTAATCAAAATTTAGAAAATTCCAAATTGACTGTGAAAATGACTTCGAGCTGGCATTGTTTCTCACTTTTCCATGAAGTATGTCTTTTTGTAAATTATGTACCTCTTCTCGTGTGTATTCTGTAAATGATTGTCAAATGATTATTCACAAAAGGTGGGTTGATACTTACAAAACGTATTACACATGGATCGGGAAAATATTATTGCAATCTGCGACTGTTCAAAACATCTCAGGTAAATGTTTTCGATACGCCTTTATAAATTGTGCACGTCTGTGCATATAGGTGTACGTATATGCGCGAGCGTATGTGTGTATGTGTGTGCATATATATATATATATATATATATATATATATATATATATATATATATATATATATATATATATATATATATGTGTGTGTGTGTGTGTGTGTGTGTGTGTGTGTGTGTGTGTGTGTGTGTGTGTGTGCGCACGCACGCACCTTTGTGTAGGTGTGTTTCCTTTTTAAGGCGCTAAATTTTAAAAAAGAGGCCCTCGCGTATTATGTTTGAGAAAAAGCGACCCAAAATACATTGCAGCCCTCCCAACAAGAAAAGAGGACAGTGTAAAAATATATAAATAGCCAGCCAGCCCAAAAGGCGTAAAGTAAACTTCTATTTATTTTCCACCCCTAACGCACGCCTTGTCCACAGGTATTTTGCTTTGGCAGGCCTCGAGGGGACAACCAACCGAGATAAGCTTCCACAGAACGGTCACGCTGCCGATCCGTTTGATGTTGAGACCTGGGTCGCTACTGACCCGTAATTGGTTGGAAGAATTAACCTACCTCTTTGAAGCGTACCGCCGATGTCTTTGATCCATGCCGATTACGTCCTCACATGTTGGGTTGTTTTTGGGTGTGGGCTTTTCTTCTTTCTTTTCTTTCCTTCTCTTGCGTCTAATGTCGTTTGGGTTCGAAATCGGGCCTTTTTGCCAGGTGGGTTGTGAACAGAGGCATGCAACTTTTCTTTGATTTGTCCGGTGTGTCCATCTCTTAGAAGGCCCGTCGGTAGATGAATGTAGGTTGAAAAGAAAGTTGAGGGATTCTTTACGTCGTTATCCGAGAGTCAGGTCGTTGTGAGGAAGTCTAAAGTGGTAAACAATAATTATGATTATGATTATGTTGTTTTCCCATACACATATACATACACATGCGCATACACATATACATATATGCATACAAATACACATACTCATACACACACATAATATGCATACGTTTGCAAGTACAAGTACACGCTTTTGGGATGAATAATATAATTATTTATAGATTTAATATTTAGAGAACTGTTAGCCGTGAAGATGGGGGAAAAGATGGCTGGTGAGAAAGCTGATTTCGGAGGGGCACCAATAACGAGAAGAAAGTGTGCAGTCGAGGAAGTCATATATTATTCCGCTTTGGTTTGATACACCTACTAGACATGAAAATTATTATGATTGTTACCTGATCAACGTCGGGGCACTTGGCAAAGCTGAAAGAATAAAGACAAAGAAAAAACCAACAATGCAGTTAATACTATATACTTATTTATGACAATCAATATTTTGAACGAATGTCTTTGCTACCCCAAATCTCCAACTTTAAAAAAAGGCGATTCTTACTATCATACAACGTATTTCAATTTGAACCAGAACACACAGGGAAGGGGTTGGGATGGGGGAGGGTTATTGACAATGAGTATTGAAATGTAATGATACAGCAAGACATTGATTGAGAGAAGAAAGCAGATACATTGTTTTAAAGAATAGAGCTACGATTCAAAGAAACTTCTATAAAACTAGATCTGGAACTTATAGTATAACTTATAGGTAAAGAAATGTTACTCACACATATTGGAATTCATATCGTGGGAGATCTTGAGGTCACACAGACATCTCTTTCTCTCTTTCTCTCTCTCTCTCTCTCTCTCTCTCTCTGTCTCTCTCTCTCTCTCTTCCTCTCTCCTCCTCTCTCTCTCTTTCTCTGTCTGTCTGTTTGTTTGTTTGTTTGTCTGCCTGTCTATCCCCCCCCCTCTCTCTCTCTCTCTCTCTCTCCCCCCCTCTCTCTCTTTCTCCCTCTCTCTGTCTCTCTCTTTCTTTCTCTCTCGCTCGCTCTCTCTCTCTCTCTCTCTCTCTCTCTCTCTTTCTCTCTTCCTCGTTTACCCTGATATTTGGTGTAGACCGCCAAGATAGGCTCTCCACTAGTCTCTGTCCTGGTCTTTCCTTTCTGCGTAGTCTAAACAGCCTTATGCACTGCTCACAGTCGAACGCTCCGTATCCCGGACTCTAGCATGGAGATCATCAGGAGAGAATGCGTCGCTCTTTCGGGCTCTTCCTCTCTACAGCTTTTCTGACCCACCGATCCCCCTCA